ATTTCATACAGAGTGAAAGGGTCCAGGAGCACCATGTTCCCTGCTGGATAGCCAAGCCGGGGACAGGTGGTGCAGAGCTGTGGAGTTGTGCATCATGAACAGACCTCAGAGAAGGTCTGGGATATATAGAAGACAAAAAATAACATGTAAAATGGTTTGGGGTATATTATTTCATTGACAATATGGAAAAAACAAAAGCAACCATTTCTTGTGTTACTGTCAAGTTCAGAGGTTAATGCTGGTGTAGATGGAGGTGTGTAGATAGAGGTTGTATGATCAATCCTCTGACGAGAAAGGAAATCAGGTTAATTTAAACATAACACATCTGGCAGCGCTAGAGTTAAAAGCAAACCCTCTCCAAGCGAAACCTTAGCTGCCAGATGTAAAACCCCACCTGCCAGGCACTGCAACACTTAAACCGATCCCACAAGCCTTCCCACGTGGAGTTTACATCCAAGGGGAGAGCATGTACCAGTCTTGTTCCCAGCTACTTATGTTAAAATACACACCCCTGTGATAAACAGCTGCGGTCCTGCAACAGCTGCGGCGGCGGCAGATGGAGCCCTGCCCGGAGAGGGGCAGCAGGCCCGGCATGACCGGCACGTACCCACGGTCCCCAGAAAGCCACCTCCGGGCGAGTGGCACCGCGCTCCGCAGGGCACAGCTCCGTGCCAGCAGCGTCAGCTGGGTGCTGGGGCTGGAAACTCGGCGCCTGGGATAGTCCTATCTTAAATATAGAGGGGTCTTCTGGAAGATAAATATATAAGTAAATATTTTTTTTAAAAAAGTAAATTTAAGGGCGTTTTGTTGTGTGTTTCTTTGGTAATTCAGTCAGTGGAGCACCTGGGGGTGGAGCCAGGGTTTTAGAAATTATTATGTAACTAGAAAACTTATCTTTTAGCTGCAGGTATTTTCAGTTTTCTGGTATTTGCCAATTAAGTAGTAGTTTGTGGGATGCAAGGGGGGCAGGGGTCAACAACATGCATAATAACTTAATGAAAGGTTTTAAGAGGCATAACTTCACGCAGAGAGCATGAGGCAGCTAAAGATGCCTCAGAGACCCCTGTCCCACCAGAGGGTCCTGCCAGACGAAATCCAAGTGGCCACCCTCTCCCCGGAGCGGGGGATTTACATCCTCCTCGGGGGAAGCTGCCTGCGCTCCAGCGAAGGGAGCTGAGCCTCCGGAGGGCGCTCGGGTGATGCACAGAGACACGCGTGGGGCAGGCAGCATCTTCCCCGTATCGCTCCATCCCAGGCGCCGCCGGGGAAGCGCGTGGGGGGATGCAGCGCGGTGCTGGTGTCGGCGGCGGGTTAAAATCAGCTTGTTCAGCCAGCTTTTCCGCTGGCCCGCGCGGGAAAGGGAAAATCAACGCTCAGCCGGGGGAATGGGGCGCCGGTGCCGGCGTCGGGGCAGCGCTCCCCGGGGACGGGACGGTGCGGGAAGGGCGGCAGGCGCCCCAAAGGCACCCGCACCGTCCCATGCCCGTGGTGGGGGCACCTCGGACCGCGGCCACCCTCCGCCGGGAGGTGGCAGCTCGCAGCGGCGGCAGCCCTGCCTCCGCGGCCGCGCACCCCACCCGCTCCCGCCCCCGGGTCCCCGGGGGTGCCGGGAACAGTCGTTCCCCGTCATTGGGGCAGGAGGCGGGGCCCGCGCCGTATAAGAAGGGACCGAGCGGGCGTTTCACTCCCAGGTCCTGAGACGCCTTGTCCCATCCCCGCCTCCTACCGCTGCTCACGGCGTGACCCGAGCCCGGATCGGCCCCCTCGGGGAGGCGACGGCGGGGCTACAGCGGCAGCGCCGGTGCCACCGAGCAGTAGCAGCGTGAGCAGCGGCGGCAGCGGCAGCAGCAGCAGCCCCGCTCCCACCTGCCCGTGACAGAGGCTGGAGCTGCGAGCGTCGCGGAGCGGCGTTTGGTGCCCGCGCTCCGGAGCCCCCGCGCCGCGGCCGTGCGGCGCCGCGTCCCGCTCGCCGATGAGCGCCGCCGCTCTCTACAGCCTGGACTCGCCGGCATGTTATAAGAGCTGGTGCCTGGAGCCCGCCAACTTCTACGACGCCAAGGTGGGCAGCGGCGGCGGGCCGGGTCCCGCCTGCAAGCCGGCGGCCCGCGGCGGCTGCGGGATGAGCGGCGAGGAGGCGGGGGGCGGCCTGGGGGGCAGCGGCACCAACCTGGCCGAGCTGAGCGCCGCCGCCCCGGCCATGTACGAGGACGAGAGCGCCATCGACTTCAGCTCCTACATTGACTCCATGTCTGCCGTGCCCAACCTGGAGCTCTGCAACGACGAGCTCTTCGCCGACCTCTTCAACAGCAACCACAAGCCCGAGCGGGGCGGGGAATACGGCGAGTACTTGCCACCGGGCGGCGGCGCCGGCCGCGACCCCGCCAAGGACCTCGGCGCTGCCATGACCACCCTGCTGGGCTCCGAGCCCCGCACCGCCTCCTCCTCCTCCTCCTCCTCTTCCTCCTCCTCCTTCTCCTCCCGCGGCGCTCTGAAGCAGGAGCCGGACTGGAGCGACAGCGACCTCTCCTCCTCGCTGCTGCCCTCGCAAATCGCCACCTGCGCCCAGACCATCATGAACCTGAGCGGGCAGCCCACGCCGCCCACGTCCCCCGAGCCGCCGGGCAGCAGCTCCCCCTCCAGCTGCAGCACCCGCTCGCCGGGCCCCGCCGCCGCCGCCGTGCCCGGGCCGGCGCAGGGCGTCCCGCCGCCCGCCGCCGCCGGGGGCAAGGAGCGGGGCGGCAAGAAGTGCGTGGACAGGTTTAGCCCCGAGTACCGGCAGCGCCGGGAGCGCAACAACATCGCCGTGCGCAAGAGCCGCGACAAGGCGAAGCGGCGCAACCAGGAGATGCAGCAGAAGCTGCTGGAGCTTTCGGCCGAGAACGAGAAGCTGCACAAGAAGATCGAGCAGCTCACCCGGGACTTGACCAGCCTCCGGCACTTCTTCAAGCAGCTGCCCAGCGCTTCTTTCCTGCAGCCCGGCTCGGGCACCGACTGCCGGTAACCGGGGGGGAGCGGGACGGAGAGACGGACTCCGGGAGACGGTGGATAAATACCTCAGAGGGCCGTGCCGAGCCTTGCCGGGCCGTGCCGCGGCGCCCCGGGCCGGGCCGGGCGCGGCGTGAGGCGCGGAGCCGCGGCGGGACCTGCCGGCCCGCGGCCGCGCTCGGAATGCGGCAGCGACGTGGAGCGATGCCTGGGTCTTTCACCACGAAACTTGCGAAAAAGGGAAAAAAAGCTAAATATATTATTTTTTTTTTCTTCTCTCCCCTTAAATTATTTTTGTAATGGTAGTTTTCGTCTTTTCTACATTTTACTCATACCGATGCAGCTATGGTACATCTGTTAAAATGATTCAAAATCCCATGTATTTTAGACAGTAGGATGGAAAAAAAAAAAAAAAAGACTGAGCATGCTCAACCTTTTATATCAATTTTTACAGCATTTCTAAGAATAAAGAAAAGCATTTTAAATCAACCCTGCTCTCGTTTGCTCTGTGTCGTGACAGCAACGGGCTGGCGGCGGGGAAAGCTCTGCTGCCCGGGAGGGGCTGAACTCGGGCGGGGAACACGGCCCGGGGGTCCCAGGGCCGAGAGGGGAGGTGAGGGCAAGCGAGGGGAGCTGCGTTACTTCGCACAGCATCCAGACAGCGATGCAGGGGTGGGAGAAGCCGGGAGACCCCTCGGCCGCGGTGGCCGGGAAGTCTGCTCCCCCCGGAGCCGCATCGCTGAGCCGGAGTGCTGAGTCAGGGGTTGCCGTGGCGCTGGTGGGACCGAGCAGCTGCACATCAAGAGAGACTGCTCTGTGAGCGGGACTCTGCTAGAAATACCGTATTCTATATCTTAAAAAAAAAAAAAAAAAAAGTGCATGGGACTAGAAGAGCATCATTAAAAGAATACTACTAGTTAAAATTCCTGTTTAAAAAGTTTCCAAGGGGTTTCCATTCTAGATAATGCAAAGCTGCACCTACACTAACATGTTCCATAGCAGGGACCAGAGCTCACCTCTGTAGTGAGTCCCAGAGGTGTTGATGCAGCCTCAGGCTTCAGCCCACTGCAGGAGCTGGACACTTTCACTGATCCTGGCTAGTGAAAGCGAGAGTGGGCAACTGCTGCTCATCACAGAGTCAGTGGTCACAAAGAGTTTCACTGATCCCTGCTAGTGACAGCGGCAAGGCAACGCTGCTGCTCATTGCTGAGATCGGGCAACTTTTCTAGATTTCAGTAGTGCAGTGTTAGAGCATCTACCATCTCTAGGGCACTGGCAGAAAAATGGCCTGACACAACAAGCCCCTCCAGTTTTCCCAGAGACTCAAATCTTAAATGGTTTTGAAGGGGCAACGCCAGTCTCACATACAGACCTCCACGCAGGAATGGGCTCTCATCTCCTTTTTCCTTACAGAGAGGCAGGTAAGAGACTGAAATGCTTGGAGGAGGTGGGAAAAAAAGGGGAATTCAAAAGCTGGGTCATTCCTTTAGTAATTGGTGACATCCATAAGACTTTTCACGATAGGCCTGAGCTGCAGAAATGACCAGTGTGGCAAGTTTGCTGTTCCTTTTCTGCTGGTTAATCACATAAGGGTCCTGCACTAAAACCACTCCTTCCTCCTCCTCTGACCTGTAAGGGGCTTTTAAACACTGTGAAAGAGTAAGGGGGGGGAAAACCCCATGCAGTCTCTAATTCTTATATTAATTATTGCAATGCACACAGAGGAAGATTTTGGCATTTATCTGATCTGTAATCTCCACAGTCTGGGTGGGGGTTATTGCGTGGCCTACAAGCAGTTTGCTGCTTACCCATAAAAGAAATTAGAGTGAAACACCCGCTTTGTGGGAAGCTATAGATAACTCACAACTTCTATGCTGACAGACCAATTAGCTGTGAAACTTTAACTTTATATGTGTTCAAATCTCTGTCTTTATAACAACTATTGCGAAGTGATAACTCAGAATTCACACACCACACAGCGTTTTGCAGCAGGTCTCGGATACACTGATAAAACTCAGCTTAAACCAACTGTCAGAGCAAGGTATTTATTTCAAAAATATCAGTAAAATTTTTTCCATTGACTCATAATAAATACAGTATTATTAAAAATAAATCACAACCATTCAAAACTTCCAGAAAAAGATGTTTTACATTACATAACGGCAAACACAACAAAGAACTGTATTGTTAGATTCTGCACTGATCAGAAAAAGAAGAGTTCACAAAGTTGAACAATATATAGATATTTTTTTCAGTGTTAGCACAATGTGCTTTATAAATCACAGTTTTAATAAACTATCTTAATGCTTATCACACTTGCATTATACATTATCTGTGGCACTAGTTAACAGATAATCACATTACAAAGTCCACAGATACTATAATAGCTGACTAGAGTTCAACTCTGTCTTGCTGCAGCTTCCAGAAGAACAATTTCCTCCAGCGCAACACAGTTGGGGTGACTGGTTATGGAGTGGACGTAGCAGCTCAATAACCCCACCTCCTTTCCCAGCACGCTCTGCACCTCGTAAGTCTGCAGGAATAAAAGCACGGTGAGTAAAACAAACAGTGCTGGACGTTCTGTTCCAGGCAGCATTCAGCTGGGAAGATGCAGCATGCAAGATCCTCTTCCAACAGACAATTTTTTTTAAAGGACTCGGAAAGTGCATTAGAACTATTGGAAAGAATGAATATGTTACATTTTCAGTAATTAGATCACATTCCTGTCTCAGTTGCTGCCCTAGCAGGCTTTAAAAATGAGCTGTTTAAAAAGAAAAAAGTTACTGTGACTTTGAACTCAGTTTTGCTGAAGCATAACCTATACATGCTCCCTTTACCTTCCTTTCTGACCCTTGCAGGCCTTCATGCGTGCTGGCAATGCTATACTACATACATACCAAACATTGATTACCTGGGCTAACTAAAGGAAAAACCATTTTGTAAACCCTTCTTACTCTCCTCCCTCACCCCCTTTTAACTTTTTGCTGTTCATGCATCACCACCACCAGCACCAACACTGTCCCTCCTGTTTAATGATCCGACCGGCATTTCACCCACGAGTTGTGCCTGAGTGAATTTGCAGAGGCTGAGCTCTGCGTGGAGGAGAGGGATGCAAGGCTGGCATGGCTGCACTCAGAGGAGACAGCACGATAACACAAGAACTGGTAACACTCACTGTTGATATTTCACTTGAGAGGGTATCTCAGGTGGCAGGTTCACATCCATTTCTTTCCTTAACAGGCCTTACAACAAGCCTCTGACTGTGTCCCTGCCTTCATCTGCGCTGTGCTTCTGTGCAGGTATGTGATACCCATGGCGTTGCCTGGTTCAAGGTATAAACAATCTTTTTTCTTTTTTTTTCCCCTGGATTATTTTTCCCCCAGACCGGTTCTGCAGTCCAGTTCGCTGTGCAGCTGCACAAACAACTCCACTGGTGTAACAGAAGGGCTGCCACAAGGTGAAGAATGAGTAGCCAGGGCCAGTGAGGGCTAAAACCAACCTCCCTGCCAAAAGAATTGATTACAAAGCTACACCCTTAGAAACTTTAGCAGCACTGGCAAAAAAATGCCACCTCAAGTGGTACTTCTTGTGACTAATCTTTATCCCTGTGTTTCAGCCAGGGAAGAAAGAAAATCTGAGTTGCTAGACTTCTACACACTGAAACGTGAAAAAGAGGTTGTTTGAATTCTAATAACTTGAAAAATAACTATGTTTTGCCAGTCTGTAACCAAACCAGACACATCCTGCAAAACTCAGCAAGACTTAATTGCTATTAAAGGAGCAAACACATTTTGGAAATTTCTTGTATCTCTTTGCTTAAATGAAATATACACCCTCCTCCAGCACAAGAAAAATAATTTATTATTTCAGAATAACTTTCCATTTTAAATATTACCCACAAATGCCACTAAAAGCATGGAGCATGTAATAGGAAAATGCTGGAAAACTTGTAAGACAGGGAAAGCAAACTGACCCCAGTACATATCACCTAACTGAAGATATTTAACTGGGATGATTAAACAAGACAACAAACTGACCTTTGCTCCCATTCACGTACAAGGGAGAGGGAAAATCTTGGAATCCTAATTGGACTTAATGACTTTCTGAAGGCTGCCGACCATCCAGCAGCCAATGCCAGGCAGGCACCTACCCAGGAGCCTCCCTCACCCACGATAAATCTGGGTCACTGTGCCAAGTGTCAGGGTTCTTCTGATATCTCAGATTAAAGGAATAACTACTTCATGATTACATAAGCTGTACTTTAGCCCATGGATCTCCGTGGCTCATGTGTGTTTCATTCATACAATTATCAAGTAATGTCTTGCATGCATTTTGCAAATTCTTCTCCTATCTCCACCTGCCTGTACTTTCACTGTTGTGCTGTTACAAAGTGGCTGTGGTTTATAGGATTTAGAAGACCAGACCCAAAAGGTGGGATGCTTGGAGGGTATCTTTGCTGTCTTTGGATCGTCAGCCAGAGAACGGAGTCAAGCCCAGCACAGCCCGTGGCAGCTTTGAGTGCTGTTTGCAAGTGGCTCTGCAGACCCACAGCTGAGCTGAAGCTACACAGCCCATCTGCTGCACCCCTCTTCTGAAAAGGAGGGTGTGAGTCTGATGAGATGGCAGAGCATCAGCAGCTGGAAGGCGGGATTGCCAAAGGGCACAGCCCACTCGAGTCACAGCCTGGACATGGGAAAAAAAAATCATTTCACTTGTAGTGAAATCTCTTACCACTCCTAGTGCAGTTCTGAACAGCCTGGAAAGTCAGAATCTCCACCACTGGAGATTTTCAAGACCCTGCCACCACAAGTCATGGCTGGCCTGCCACACCTGACTTTGGTACTCTGCCTTTACATTAAGTTCTGTAGTTTAACTTTCTTTGGACAGCATTCATTATACCTACCCCATCCTCACAGGCAGAGGACATCAGGAGAGAAGAGATTGTCCTTTGCAACAACTGGAACGAGAAAATTCACAGGTTTTGTTCATGACAAAAATCTTAAGTGTGCAAAAATGTTCTGTTTGCAGTCATATAGAACAAAGATTTATCATTTTAATATCAAACAGTTTTGTTTCTCTGGCCAAGAAAGCAGAGGAGAGGTGACACAAAAAATGTTCAGAATGGAAGTCTAAAAATACACATTCTTTTTAGACTATGTAGACTGAAGTTTCCAAAGGCCCAGCCTAACAAATCCCTTCATCTGGGCCATAGAACAGTTTGCAAACCTCAGGGTGAACTCAATGACTGCATTATTTGAGCAAGATCTGGGAACGGGGTTCTTAGCCCAAGGAAACACAAGTTTAGGATTAGATTAAATTATGGGACAGTCTTACATATTTTAATTTGTTTTCTGACAGAACTGTTCATAGAAGTGTGGCTTAGAACACCTATGTGTCTACACATCTAGTCTCACTGCACCTGATACACCAGCACTTATTTCATGCCATACCTTTACTTTTACTGTGCTTTGAGATCGGGATGGACAACTCAAGAAGACTTCCAGCTGCATTTTCAAAACTGGTGTTGTGACAACTTCAGAGCACTGGTTGCAATATAGCAGTTCTCTGAAACACACAAAATAATGATGGAAAAACATGGAGAAACGAACAAACTACCAGTCATAAATCAAAATAAACAAAACCCCAATTAGTGTATCCTCTAAAATACTTTGCTGGTAGACTTTTAGTAGCAAAGCCCTGTTAGAGATTCAGTTGATAACAGAAAATAGAACTCTTCTGTTGGCAGTAACTCTCCTGGAGGACCTAAACTCTTCTGGCAAAAGGATCTTCCTTTTATAATTTCTGGCAGCATGGAGAGAGGTTGCTATTTATAGTCCCCCCACTTAAGCAAATATTAATCTCATAACCCTAAAAGTTATGGCAAAAGAAAATCTGTAGTATAGATTTGGCTGAAGTGAATTATTGACTTAGGCCCTCATTCAGCAAACGTTCAATGTTTTCAGTGTACTCTTAAGTCATGCACAGAGTTAAGCTCAGCTATAAGTACTTGTTGGAAGCACTTCTTAAACAAATATTGATACTTCATTTGTTCTCCAAATGAAGCAAAAGTGTCCTTCACAGGTGAGATACGTTTTTAATTGGACTACACTCCTATGTGAACATAGACATATCCTTATTTTTTGCATGACAGTATAATACAGGACACCTGGTTTTGATTTTCAGCCTTTTTTTGTAGAACAAAGCATTAAAGGTGAATATTCTCATCTTTACGAAAATATTATCTATTTCTATTATCTATCTATCTAAGAACAACAGAACTTATAATTTTTGAACTTCCTTCCTGCCTTCCCTCCTGCCTTCCCACCTTCCTTCCACACTCTGACTGCTCTTATCCCTTGGGCTTTTATTCCACCAGGTCTCACACTCTGCAAGCACAAGCTGGCTAAGCAGCTGCAGGGGAGGCTTTCCAAAATTATGTCAGTGTGACACAGGTTCAGCATTTCAGGCGGCAACAGGTCCTGTAGGATCAGTCCTCATATTCAGGACAAACATACTGCCAGAATTATTCAACATCCTTTTTAGAAAGGTGACTAATTTAATAGGTCTGAAATGCAACTCTTTCATACTTAGATAAATTGTAGCAGAGATCATAGTCCAGTATAAAAATGAGGTGAATTGAGGATACACAGATTAACAAGGCAAGACACAAACACATGTACCTACTGCTAAAGGAACTTAAAATCAGACCTAAATTTATTAAAAGCAATATTATAATGCAGTGGGCTATGAAACCTTTTTAAGCAAGACTGGTTTAAAAAACAAGCAATAACTGCAAAATCAAACTATTTCATATCTACTTGTATCTTTCTTCACATATTAATGTAACCTTGCAGGTTTTATCAGTTCATCAGCAATAAAAATACTACGTCTTAGCTCTAGGAAGGAGCAAAGTGCAGCCTGTGCCTGCAGGAATCATTGCATCACCTATTGCTGTTATGGCTACATCTACAAAACACCTGGAGTGCTCTGGAGCATGCTGACTCTCACCTGTCCTGGGGACACACTTCCAACTTTCCATTGCCACATCTGTTGCATGTAGGCCAGGAGAAAGCAGTGCTCTCATTAACTCCAACAACAGTACCTGCAGAACATGGAATTCTTACAAAATGCTAATGTTAAGCCAGCAAACACAGTCACTCCTGGCCTCACAGCAGGTTTGAACCTTTCTGACCCACAGCTTAAGGCTTGTCAGAGCAAGAATCAGGTCTTCCAACAATCTCACTCCCTTTCTCCTTTGTCCCTCCAACAAGGGATGAAAGTACAGCAGAGTGTTACATTCTAAAAATATCAGAAAGTAGATAATTGACAATTAACTTTCCAAACAGGCTCGGTTCTTTTGGTTTGGATTTTACTGCTTTTCTGATTTGTTTTTGCTTGTTTGCTATCTTTCTGGTCCTCTGATGCTTTCTTGGCAATAAACAGCTACAAAAACAATCAGATCGAATAGCTTGATATTGATATTTAGAAAATACAAACCAATAAGAAGCCCCAATCCCTTCTGAAAACAACAATGCAGATAAAATTCCACTAACAATGGAGTTATTATTCATTTATACAGATTTAACAGAGATTAGATCTGGCTCACAGTCTTAAGTGTGTGCGTAAGAAGGGAATGCCAAAGATACTTTGGACTAATAAAAAGGGCCTCGCTAGTTTTGGCAAGAAAAAATATATTCAGAATTTTATGAGAAGCCAGTAAAGAGCGTATTATATTTTATGGTAACAATACGCTGAAATTATGAGCATTATTTATAGAGAAAAATATTCACCTGTAAGAATGAAATCACACTGAAATAAAAACTCACTAGTACAACAGAACTATAGACTTAAAAATCCAGCCTCTGTTGAGCAAGAATCTCACAGTTCTATACCACATTCAATAGAAGAAAGCCTTGGAGACTATGGAGCATTTACAGTGTCTGGACTGTAAGACAGGGTGTTAATCCCTTGCTTTTCTGGTTTTCCTGGGACAAGGAGGGAGCTACACCTAAAGAACAAAACTGTAATTTTCTTTGGGAATTCAAAGGACAGCAAGTCTGAAGATCTGGAAAGTTACTTCTCAAATACAACATTTATGACTCAGTTTCCAAGTGTACCACAAAACATCAGGCATTTCTCTGACAAGATATTCTACTTAGCCATGTGGACTCTTAGAGGAATAATTTTGATTCTTCAGTGTTCGTGATAAACTGGGAGTTTCCAAGGGTATGTTTCTCTTTGAATGATGTGAATGCTGAATGGAGTTAAATCCACTTAGTGGATTTAGTTTGACTGGATCCACTTGACTGGCTGGTCACCAGTGGTGTTCCCTAAGGCTCAGGATTGGGGCCAGTCCTGTTTAATATTTTAATCAATAATCTGGATCAAGTCCACCCTCAGTGAGTTTGCAGATGACAGTGAGTTGGGTGGGAGTGTTGACCTGCTGGAGGGCAGGGAGGCTCTGCATGGGGATCTGGACAGGCTGGATCAATGGTCTGAGGCCAGTGGTGTGAGGTTCAACAAGGCCAGGTGTTGGGTCCTGCACCTAGGTCACAGCAACCCCAGGCAGTGCCACAGGCTGGGAAAGAATGACTGGGAAGCAAACCAGCGGAAAAGGAGCTGGGGGCGCTGGTTGACAGCCAACTGGACATGAGCCAGCGTGTGCCCAGGTGGCCAAGAAGGCCAGTGGCATCCTGGCCTGTATCAGCAATGGTGTGGTCCAGCAGGACCAGGAGAGTGATCGTGCCTCTGTACTCAGCACTGGTGAGGCTGCACCTCAAGTACAGTTCTGGGCCCTTCACTCCAAAAAAGACACTGAGGTGCTGGGGTGGCCCAGAGAAGGGCAATGGAGCTGATGAAGAGGAGGTGGGGCTCTTCAGCCTGCAGAAAAAGAGGCTCAGGGGAAACCTTCTTGTTCTCTGCAACTGCCTAAAGGCACTTTGTAACCAGGCAGGGGTCCACCTCTTCTCTCAGGTAACAAGTGACAGCATGAGAGGAAATGGCCTAACATTATTCCAAGAGAGGTTTACATCAGATATTAGGAAGACTTTCTTCACTGAAAGGGTGGTCAAGCATTTGAATAGCTGCCAGAAAAGTGGTGGAGTCCCCAGCCCTGGAGGTATTTAAAAGACATGCAGATGTGGCACCTGGGGACACATGGTTTAGTGGTAGACTTGGCAGTGTTGGTTTTGATTTTGGTTAATGGTTTGACTGGATATCTTAAAGATCCCTTTCAACCTAAATGATTCTATGATTTTATCATCCTTGTTCACCAAAAAGCTACCAATTAGTTTGCTGAGTATGTTTCCTTCTTCGTTAAAAAATAATTTTAAAACCAAAACAAGTCCCCTTTCTCTCTAAGCCTTTTCACCTTCTCCCCGTTGTGTGCCATATTCCAACTGCAAGATGCCAGTGCAAGTACATTTGAAGAAAATTAATGAGGATCATACTGATGAGATTGTGTCTAGTGGAGAAGATTATTTTGATGATAATGCAGAGTTCCCTTGAGAAAAACACCAGACATCACTGAAGTCAGACCAACTCAAAGCAGCAACAGATGTAGTAATCTAGTGACAGTCTTGTGCACCCTGTAAAGAGATTTCTCAAATTTAAGATGCTGAACTACTGCACATCTTTTTCAAGACGCTTGATTTTTCTTGACATACACAAACCTTTTGGATATCTTCCCAAGATCCTTCTTTTAAATGAAAATGCACATGGCCAAAATTCGATTTTTACCTCTAGTCTATTTTTAAGGGTTGTGGCTGGCACCATAAAGAAGAGATTGACAATAGGACAATACCTGGAAAAGCAGGTCTGCCATGTGGAATGCAAAGGAACATTTTGGTTGAAACAATTAAAACATGGAAGTGTTGTTTTGGATTTCTTTCCCCGAGTCAGTTATCCTGATTAATGGGACCGGCAATGCAAAAATCCAATTAAAAAAGGAAACACAGATAAACTGACTGACTCCATTTTAGTCCCACTATTAAGTGGAAAACTGAAAAAACCCCACACGCCTGAGTAAGGGCTTAAATATGAAAATATCCAATGTCAAAATTCAATCACTGCTGGTGAGTCATGTACTAGGCAAATAGCATTAATCAAGTAATATTCCCACATACCACGTGTGGTATAGACTAAGTAGAATTTACTCAAAGCATGATTAAGAGGAAAAACAGTTCTGTGCCATATGAACTGCCAACATTTAAGTCATCCTGACTGCTACTATACAGCAAAAACAGGTTATAAATTACCTTGTAACGCATAGTGATAAGAAAATAAACCTATTAACCCTAAGATCACAGGTGAAAACCACAAACTCATCTTGCAATGAAGAATAAACTTTTCATTAGAAAGCAACCACAGGTTTTCACTGATTTGTTGAAGAGCAACACACTCCATTATCCCAGAGCTGGTGTGACTGGACCTTCCAGAAACAAGAATTTCTGACAAACTCATTGCATCTGCTTGGTCTGGAACATTTTCTGTTTTGACAGGGAAGGACCCTCGGAAGAACATCCAGTCCAGAGTTGTACCAAGTTGGTCAGGGCCCAGCTTTAAGCAGGAGCTTGGCCTGGCAGAACTTCAGATGTTCCTTCCAAAGGAGCAGGAAGGCACACCCCTTCAAGAAAGGGTCAAGAAAGCCTTTCCAGCCTCTTTGCTAGGGGGGAGGATGCCAGTGTGCAACATACATAAGTGACCAAAAGTACAAGAAATGACTGGATGGGCAAAGAAAAAGTATGAATGAGATAATAACTGCTTCTCATTGAAAGCCAGACTAACAGCTCTCTGATTTAGGAGATAAGAAACAGTGACTGAAGTTTAGAGATGATACATCTCCCTCCATGCATTGTTCCACCAAAAGTATATTCTCCCACCAACCAAATAGGGTCAATGCTATTAGTTTCATTAGTTCAGCAGAAAGATGTAGGCACTACCTAACTGAAACCCAAAACAGTGAATGTGTCTCTTGAATGGTATTAAAATATTTCAGTACACACGAAAGTGAGAGTTTTCATCCATATACTGCTGCAGCATAAGTATATAGAAGATATTTTATATTCTGTGTTGGTATTCAGGTGTGGGAACATACTGATAACAGCTATCCTGCACAAATTCCACATTAAACAAGACAAGGTTGTAGGATTAATTTCTCCTTTTGTCATCCTTCTATCTTTAATACAGGACAGGCAAAGCATGACATCTCCCATGTGTATAAAGTAAGTTCTTGTTTACACAACAGATCACAAAGGTGTACTTTCTTTGCTCTGCTGGAAAAAGAAAGGACAGAGGGATGTTTTCTTTATCCTACTATGAGCACCGTCAACAACAAAAAAGAAGACAGGCACTTCTCAAAATCGCAAAATTACCAGCAGAGAAGCGACAATTCTTTACATAACTACTGGAGAGGTGAAAAAAAAAGTCAAAAAGCATTTCACACCCAGTGACAGAAATATCTTTCAAGTAGCTGTATCACTGCAAGACGTACACAACAACCAAGGCTTTGAGTGAAGTGTCTCTAGTTGTGCTTGGTTTTCATTATGCACTGTTCAACATTTGTCACTGCAAGGTGCTCAGTAATTAATCACAGAGGCATTGCTAAGTTGTGGCTCTACCACAGCAGCAGGTATGTTTAGTAAAGGCTTCGCTTGGTTTTAAATTGTCTTCTCAGTCTATCATATTATAGCTGAATAATTAATTTGAAAATCATTATTTGTTGTCATTTTAAAGTAAATTTCAAATGCTACAGTGAATACTTGAAGGGGTAAACGCAAAAGTGTATCAAGAATTTTCTACAAGGGTGACTGGAATAATACAAGTTAAATTAAGACACATCTTAGACAAAGCTATGATCCAAAGTGGCTGGTGAGCAAATACTGGCTACATCATGCTAAATTACTATGGTAAAATAATAAATTGTCCTACTGCAGCAAAGCTCCAGGGAAATCAGTCACTAACCCCTACCACTCAAGATCTGGGTAACATATCTTACCCATCTGCCTAAAAAATGTTGGCATAACTCATTGTTGCCAACATCAACAAGGCTGGTGTGAACAGAAGGCTCCTGAAAGAAGACAGTGAAGAAAGGAATATAATGAAACAGATTGTGCATTAAACATTTATTCTGGGGTATGAGTGAGTGGGAGCAGAGCTTGGCCAGCAAAAGGCAAACAGAGCCCACAATGAAGCATAAAATCTTAAATATCCTAATGACCCACAGCAATGCCATGCTTTTTTTACCCCTCCATGCTGTTTGTGCAAGAAATCAATATGAAGACACAAAAGATTAAAGTGAGCACAAATAATTAACTGCATTCATTTCAGCAAGGCCATACAAACCTCTGAGAGCACAAATGGAGCTGGCCTGTGTTGTAGAATCCAGCTCATCGAGTCTGACAGGGCCAGTCAGCTCACTGAGGTCAGCACCAGCAGCCGAGCACAAAAGAGGCTTTTGTAATAGGAGAACAGTACGTTCAACACAAATAATCCTACCTGCCAAAAAAGACATTTCAACTCAGTACAGTAACAAGGAAAAAGGTGACCACGTTAATTGTCATGGCCAATAAAGACAACAATCTCTGCCAGCTACCAAGCAGATGAATAGACTCCATCAGGTTTTCTCAATGACAAAATATTTTGCTTTCAGCGATACACGCACCACGCTCTTGTTGCACTTTGCAACTCCTGAGGAGAAATCTGAATTTGAAGAAAAAGAAATTTAGAAATTTGAACATGCCAGAAGAGAGTCTGATGCCACCCAGAGTGCATCACATCTCACTCCTTGCAAACAGGTTACAGGCTCTTCCTTTGTAATAACCTTGGGTAGCCCTTCAGGTGGTCCTACCTTGCTTCAAAGATTACAAAGAGCAGGTGCATGCTTTATTCTCCAGAGAGGGATTTTTGCTTCAGACACACAGCCTTTTGCGCAACTTTGTACTTCCAGTTCACTTACATTCTGGAAGTGACTGAAGGTGTGAGATGTGAGCCAGCACTGCCATCATCATACAGAAGGAAACTTGAAACTCAAAAAGGAGTGACTAAAAATGAAAGTAAAGGGAACAACCATAATTTCATTATCCGTATGGGAGCAAAGGCTCACAGCTAAGATGGTTTAGGAGAGCTTGTAAAATTTCTCTGTCTAGGGACACACAGATTTCTTAATATATTTGAGCCTTCTATCACCTCACAAATTTGATTTTCACTGGTCATCAGATTCAACAGTCAGCAAAGAAGACTGACAGCAATACTGGTGGACATACAACAACATCACTGAATTTCTCATTCACTTTCAAAATCAAGCCAAAAATACAGAAAAAGAAACTTTACAAGAAAGTTTAAATTACAACCCATTTTCAAATTTCTCATCCCAAACTTGCAAAGCCTCATCTTCATCTGATAATGAAAGTGACCTCTTTGGAGGTCACATATTGAGGTGTCAGAGATAAGGGTGCTGTTTCTGTGGGACCCCAACTGCTTCCAAACCACATGCAAAGCTTACCATTTCCCCAGAGAGCATCCTTGAAGAAGACAAGTCGTGAGCCAGCACTGAGGGCTTCCATGATTTCCATGCTGAGAACACACGACGCAGTGACTGACACAGCAACAACTTTTGGAATCCCATGAACCACATTTTGCAGTGTGGAGTCAGTCACAAACAACAACATTTCTCTTTGATCTATAGGAACACTGTGTTTTGTCTGTGATTAGGGAAAAAATACAAATTTGGAATGCAATTGTTAATTTTCTTTAGTAGAAGAAAACATCTTCATATTAAAATGACTCATAAAACTGACAGAAATTATTACAGTTAGGGCTTGTGCAGGATAATGAGTCAAAGGTTTATTAGAACTTTTTGGTATTCCTTACTTCAGATAGAAACCTTAAAATCTCTGCCTTAAATTAACTTTCTGAGGTTGACTCGCTGGACTCATGGCTTTACTTTAGTCAACCATCACGCTTTACGATAATTTTCTTGGACTGTACATGGGATTTTAAAATATATTTTCTAAAAAAATATACTATATATATGGTATACATAAAAACGTAATTGGATGGTTTTAATAAGACTTGCATAATTTTTGTCTTAAAAATATGAGGAAAGAACATTTCTACTACTAATATTATTTCTCTGTGGGCACATTTTCTAGGTACTGTTATCACATTCCCAAGCATAACCAAGTTGCAAAGTGGAGCTTTTTCTTTCAGTTGAACAAATATCCCTAAATATTCCAAAAATGCATAAAGTTAAGGAAGTGGACGGTATATGAGTCTGCAATGACAGTGTAAGTTTTCTGCCCCAGACAGGTACAAAAATATCAAAGCGTATTTCATATTTATCAGTGCAAGGAACTTGCACATTTTTGGATTCTAATATTTTAAAAATATCTAAGACTAAATAATTTTAAATGTTTTTGTTACTCTTTTTAATTAGCCTGCTGATCAAAAATTAATGCTTAAAACATTTAACTGAAAATTAAATACTAGAATGCCTGGAAAGACATGTAGCATTTTATTCTCAGAGCTGCATGTCTGTGGCAGAAGGTAACACAACAAAACCCCCAGTATTTTGTCTTTGGTTGAATTATAACTTTGAAACCATCAGCCACACCAAACCTGGCTTTCTCTCCATGCTTGCACTCTTAGAGCAAATGATGTAATTGCAAATAGTGACTGGAAAAATTCACAGCTCAGATATCACAGTTGTGCCTTAATTCAGCATATGCTGCCTATTGCACTGATGTTGTTGTTTTGCCTAGTAACTGCATACATTTGGGCACCTTCTCTGCATAGATACCATTAGGACAGCTTCAGAGAAAGAATTTTTACATCTGTCCCTTGAGAATTACTAACACATTAAAAGCTCTCTTCCAGGAAAATCATCCAAAAAGTAAATAATAATAAAAGCAAAAATCACAAGTTAGTATAAAATCATCATCTTGCTATGTGTGACAATTTGTTCTGAACAGAGAAGAGGACACAACAGACAAAAAGCAGCAGGACTGAGTTATAAGGAAGGACAGCTCCTTAACCACAGATGGAATATATTTCCTCATGTTCCTTCTGAACCACAGTTTGAATTCTGACTAATAAAAAAAGCGTATTTCCATTCCTCCTTCACACAAATTAAGTCATATTAATTTAAGCACTTAATACTGTAACTACAGAGAGTAAATACTGTTTTTTAAGGTGCATCTGAATTAGCTCACATAGCAGATTATTTAATAATACATCTGCAAAACAAACCAAATCATTGTCCCTTCCTCACTTATTACAACTTGGTGATTTTGCATGTGAAGGGTACATCCTCTTGGCAAAGGCAGCTGCAGGAAACAAGCTGCTGTTCTTGATCTTCTGGAAGGACTAGGCAAATGATACTCTAGCAGCAGATACTTTTACATTCCTTGAGCAATTGTCCCAAAAGTTAAACATAAAGAGAATATCTTCTATTGCTTTTCCATCATTACTTTCAAAAAATTATGAGTACTCATGTTGTTCACTTATAAAAATTTAGTGCTTACAGTTCAGCAAGTGAATAGCCATTAAAAAAAGAACTAATAAACCTCCTAGGAGCAACACAAAAAAGCACAGACCTTTCTTTCTTCTACTCAATATTCCATTCTTCAATATCACATCTGTTCCAGCATGCTTCATCTTTTCTCTAATTCAGTGATGAAGTGCTTTTACATAAGAATACTGATAACACGCGTCAGAATTTCAGATGTAGACATTCCTGAATTAAAAAATGTTTGGCTAGGATGCCCCTAGTCTGCAATTTTATTTCATTTTTCACTGGAAGAGGTTTCTTAGAAATAGGAATTTACGCACGTATGTGTCCATCTTCCTGCTGGCACACTAAAGATCCCATCCAGCTAGCCCTAATTCCATGTTTGCCAATGCTCTGTCACATTCTCAATTAGCACAGAGAGAACACAAGAGATACCCCTCATCTCAGTAGTTAAAAGTACTCCCTGCCTAAAAATTAAATCATAATTCATTGGCTTTTGAAGCAAAAGGGCAAGACCTAAATTAAATTTATGTCTCAAACTTGTGGGAAGCATCTTCAGCTATTCTGCTGGCTGTTCTGGAATTTCTTTGTCTTTGGTTCATATGCTTTGATTCACACTTTGTTTCTTGTGGAGTTGATGGACAATTGCAAATTATTCTCTGCTAGAATGCAGTGCTGGCTGTACTGAGGATCCAGTCGCCAGGAAAAAATAAATAAATCAGCAACAAAAAAATTCCTTTAACTACTAAGGGAGCTAGCAACATTTTGAAAGAACATCGTAGCATCATTCAGAAACAAATAAAACATAATTGTAAGCTTTCCGGCGCAGTATGGATGGCAGATGTATTTACCTAAGAGTTCCTCCCTTTTACTACTTACTGGACCATAAAAGCCAAATTTGCCTGAGGGGCTTCTATGAAGTCAATGAAAATCACTCACACATTTGCATGGAAAGAGTAAAACTGTATTTTTATATAACCATAATCTGTTCCACTCTATCCCCCAACACCCAACTGACTGGGAGCTTCTTCCTTACGTTCCTAAGGATAGCATTCAGCTATAAATCGAGCCTCAACTGACTTCATGTGAGCTCTCTCTCCAGAGTGCAGTATCATCTCTGGTTAGATACCAATTTGTTCAGGAATAATTGGCTTTCTAGACTGAGTGGCATTGAAACTGGTGAGGCAGTTCATTTTACCTTTACCAAGCATTTTAGACACGGTGATAATTCAGCCCATCAACTCTTGAAGATAATCCTGGCATTGGGGTTACCCCTATACAAGATGAATCTTCTTCACATAAACATGATGCTGATTTTATGTTGAATTCATTGCTAAATAAAAAGATTACCTGCAGCCTTTGATAGAGCACTTGGGCCCAGAAGCTACATCGCTCGTTACAAGCATCAATCTGAAAAGAGCACAAAAATAGGGAATGAGACAACTGTGATACCAGAAATCCAGTGGCAAAAGGTATTTGTTATCTGATTTGTAAAGCAGATTACCCGAAGAATTTCCTTTAGACCATGAACAGCTGGTGGCTGGTACAAATTAGAAATCTGTTCTTCCTCATCCACTTCCACATGTATTTCACCAGATTGAACAGTAAGAATGTAACAGAAGCTGGGAGGAGGAAGATTAGTTGTCATCTATTAAAAAATAAGAAAAAGAAATGTGGCACATAAAAAGGCACTTTAATTTAACCAGTCAAGTTTTACAATAACAGGCAAGATGAACAAAACAATTTACATTTTAAGATGGATGGGAAAACAAAATTATATGGTTAATAACAAGGACTCTGATGTAGAAGATGAGTTAATAAACCAACAGTCCCAAGTTATAAGCGAAATCAGCTTGTGTGTATCATTCTTTCCATAATCTAACATTGATCCTCCTCACAAAAACAACTCATAACTTGGCACACTTGGCAAACACTGTGACTATTTCAAGGTGCTTTTTGTTGTTTTCCGTATCTTTATTACGTGGTAGGAGTGCGTTGATTAGTCTCATTTTTTTTTCTTTTTTCTTTCTGAGATTTGGGGACTTTTGCATGTGGGTGGGTTTTTGTGATAGTAAACAGCTGCCGAACTTTTAAAGCTGCCAAATTAAATCCAGGACAGCACAAGGAGATAATGAAGAACAGGAATGCAAGAGCTGCAAGAACTGCTCTCTTTGTGGTATGCCAGATTTTTCTTTTCCCCTTAAAAAGTACCATGACGTAACAACTTTATCAATCACCACTTAGAGAGGTCCCAAGCTGGAAAGACTTCTCAGAAAAGAAAAGACAATGCTAGAAGATAATTTTTATTGCAAATATGGTAAAATACTCTTTCAGCAATGTTTGTTGTTAATAAAACATTTAATTTAACAGAAGAAATATGAATATATTAAAGACAGTTGCCCGCCCATTAGAAAGAATCTGCTTAAAGAAAAATAAAGCAAAGGAAGCTGATACCCAAACTCTGCCTCTGATAGCATTAAAGAAGGTATTTGAATGTACATACGGCTCAAAAGAAATCGTTCCACTGGTCCCTTCCCAACAACATTATCATCATGCTGGCAGTATTGTTTATGTACTGATGTATAAAACTGCTTCCATAGAACTGTGCATAAAACTATACTGTTTGCATCAAGAGAAACATATCTCCATTGAAAGAACTCCAACCAGCCAAAAACGTGGAGCATCAGAATGCAAGTTGTGGTTCTGTGTGGAATTAATTTCTATTTCAAACCAATGGCAGAAGTGTAAATTACACGACTATGGCAAGTTTCCTCCATTTTTAAATTGCTAATAAAACAGAAAAAATGAAGAAATAGCAACAGTCATAACAACACTAAATGACATTTAAGAGCTTTGCCTCAGTCATAGATATTCCCATTCTGTTGCCCACATAATTTTAATGCACAAACCCATTCATTCCTCTGAGACTTCCAAAATATTTCGATGAAAGACAGTCAAAGAGAGTACAGCTATTTCACTCCGTTTCAGTCTCGATTTTATTTTTGACTGAGGTCTGATCTTTTTGTTCTTCAATATAAACCCCTGGACAATGCAAAGAACATGCTGCATTGCAGAGGAAAGATTCTTGGACTTTAGAAATAACTAGTAATATCCACCTTCAATATTCCCTGGTTTTGAAACATGTTTATTTCCAGCTCTCTCTTTTTTTCTCCCATATTGACTCCTTTGGTCTAAAACCAATTTTTAATACCACTAACTTCTTCCCAAAGAACAGCCTATACAAGAACATCAAGAAAGCTCTTGGCTACCCAGAAGCTTCTCAAATGGTCTCATTCTACCAAAATGATTTTATGTGACAGAACACGTTTTCAAAGACAAAAGCTAATTGAAGTAAAATTACAGATGTGATTTCAGCTTTGCAAATATAGAACATACTTTAAATCCACTTCTATACTTTCCCACCCCCTAAAATCACAGAAAACATTCATTAATCTTTAATAATTACTTTTATGTTCATCTTTCTGACCTCACATGAAACAAGTATCAGTCAGAGACATCCTAACTAGTAAGAGACCTGATTCCAGCAGACACTCTGTCTTCACAGAAGTTAATATTCAGAAAAGTGCTCTCAAACCTAAGGCTGAAAAGTGCTTTTAAAGGAGTTAACATCCTTGTATATAGACTTCTCAGCAGACTCCATGATACCTAGTATCTCTTTACTCCTACAAGGAGAAGAGAAGAAAAATTTGTCTGGACATCTTACCATTCTAGCTCTAGAGGATTAATAACTGGCTAATTGCATCATTTTGGAAAGATGCTGTTAATTCAGAGGGCTTCAGGTTAGCCTGGGAGGTTGTCAGAATCAGTAAAACAAAACTTGGTAGGTAAAAAGAGGGAGAGAGTCTTCATTCCCAAAGTAAATATGATTATACCACCATCAAAAATACTAGCTGTGAGTGAAAAAATTCATATCTGTAATAACAAAACTTACCATTTCAGAGTCTTGACTTTGTCCGGGAACTTTTACAGGCACTGCTGGAGGCCACAGACTGTCTATCAGACTAAACAGTCCTAATGCCCTTCAAAGAGACCAATAAAATCAGGTTTAAAATGTTTTCCACTGCCACACATTATATTAAAAAGATTCATTAAGAAACGTAATCTAAACCATTGCATGATTATGAAAACAATTTAAAATCATATTTGTTTTCTGGAAGCTGGTTTGGATTTGGTCTAGTTAAATTTCCATGGCTCCTGCTGCTGGGTGGAGAGGGAGAGAAGGGATGTATCACATGCAGTGACAAGCAAGTCATGTTTAATCCTTTGCCACAAACAGCTTGCTACACGATAGAATTCAGGGGAACTGGGGTAAATGGCAGCTTGGGAAGGACACAGGTATCAGCACAACTTCTTTTAAAAAGTAGCTTTTAGCTATAGAACTGTTAAAAAATTTTGCTTTTAACCCCTTCATTTCTACTGGTTTTTTTTTTGGTGTTGTGTGTTTTTTTTTTTTTTTTTTTTTTTTTTTTTTTTTTTTTTTTTTGGGGAAGAGGTGCTGCGTGTGTCTATGTGCTTTTTACTGGTTTTTTGTTGTTGTTGACAGCTGACTGTAACTGCTTTCAGGAAAGCCAGCAATTATCAGATACAGAGAAACAACAGGCAAGATTTTGTTAAGTACCATATGCAGAGAACGATCTCTTTCCTACACAGCTGTTCACTCAGTTATGGTTTGCATTTATTAATTTTGCAAGTTTCACACTTTTGATTTAAAAAACAAACATAAAATTAACAGTCCATCACATTAAGGTAAGATAGTGACCATCTTTAGCAAACCAAGCTGTATTTGGCAGCAGTTCAGTGGCTGCCTTGTGAGTTGATGGAACATCTTTGGTGGACAGAAAAGAGTAGCTGAGGGAGGGGAAATAGCAACAGATAGCTAACTTGAAGAGAAATACATTTTTGAGTTAAAGCTCTGAGTTATCTTGTCCCAGTTCTCTGTTCTGTGCAGTTGAAGCACAGAGATCTGGATTTTAACCCCACACTGCTTCCAAGTTGTCTGTTCCTCCAATTAAGAAAACCACTATTTCTGAAACAACTCTAAAAAATTAAGTCCAAAACTTTTAAAAAGTAATATTAGCTTCTAAACCCAACTGTTTAGAAGGAAACCACATACCCTGTTTACAGGGCTGAAGCACGTTGCAATATGCTGCTTCTCTTCAAGGGGTCATGGAAACTTTCCTTTTAAAGTTCTGCTTTTAGCTCACTTCTGCTTAAACTTATTTATTTCTGCATTTCCTTAGTCCTTCTCTGGATCCTTAGATTTTGGGTGTCTACAGTGAGTTTCTCAGCATGTTTTTTTCACTGCCTGTGATTCAGTGTTAACGGTGATGCCTTTGCAAGAAGTTTTATGGCTGTAAATCTCAGAGGAAATCTTTGGGAATACAACTTGAGGCTCACAATTCAGGTAACAAGCTGGCAGACTAAAAAGACATTGCTACCTCTCATTGTGTTCTTCACACAAATGAAAAGACTACAGACACAAAAGGGCTGTTTTTTTACAGAAATGGACTTACTGGCTTACAAAGCATCATCCCCAAGTCTGTGAAAGGAGAGAGACTGGGGTAGTTTTGGTGTTTGGAAGTTTTTTTTTATTTTAATCTGGGGTGGTTTTTTCGTTTTTGTTTTTTTAACAGTGATGTCATTGCAACACACAAAGCAATGTTCCCTAGGCATTAAAGATACTTTACAGCAAACTGACCACTTCTTGAATCCTTGACTGGGGCAAGATTTTCTGGTTTGTATTGTAAAGAATGCTATCTGACACAAGGAAGGCCAATGACCAGAGGAACTAACTGGTCTTGCTAACTGGGAGATGGAAAAGGAGAGCTACAAAGCGAGAGCAGAGCCTCGTGTACAACTCAGGCAGTTCCATGAATGGCCTTCCTCCATGACCCACAGCACAGGGTCGGAGCACAGATACGAACACACCACAAACTGTGCACAGAGACTGCCCATTTATCAATTTAGAGCAACTAAGCCATGTTGTTTGTTGCATGTTCTTCACACAGATTGATCCCTCACTTGCATTTTAAAGTGTTCACAAAGGACATGAAGTTGCCCTTTCTTCTTTAGCTCACTCCTAACTTGCTATCCTCTGTCAGAATGTCTAACAGATATGGTACATTTTCTTCTGTTTTTCTGTGCCCTTTTGGAGAAGGCCATCTACTGTTTGAACGAGGAGCACTTAATTAATAGTAAATGAGAGTATTTGTTTGCAAGCAGGCAGAGGATCAGTGCTGTGGGGGGCAAGCCTCCTGAAAATCTTGGCCCCATCATTTCTTTGACACCAGTCAGGCCAAGGGCAGAGACAAACCAAAGGATTAGCAAGTTCCAAATCACATCCTGCTGTGATCCTTGTCTGTGAGCTGCGATGTTCTCTCCTGGGACTCTCACTCCGTCAGTCAGTGTCCCTGGTGGGAGTTCCCTGGTTGCTCCACCCATTTATACATCTACAGGAAAGTTAACTCCCTTTTTACACTTACAGGCTTCAACTTAGCAGAAGGGAGAAAGAAGTGGGGTCACTGACAGTGGAGAAATGACAAAGACATTGTGTCCTCCTCTGCAGAAGATCATTATCCTTACAGAAAGAATAAAATTAATTCCCTTCACTGGCCAAGTAACACTCAAACTCCAGTTCAATCTGATTTGAACAATGGGTGCAGTTTATTCAATATGTGTAGCCTTCTTCAGCTATAGAGTCAGGACAAGAGATGAACAGCTGGCTCTGTGCTACAGTGAAGGGGAGCATGGTTAGCTCCCATGTGCATATGGAGCCTCTCTGGATACACAAGACAAAATAAAAATGTTTAAATTTTGCTCTGTAAATGTAATTACTAGTTACTTTGGAAAAAAATTATCACAAAAGGACACGCTTTTAAGAAAGGAAAAGCAGAATAAGAAGTGAGAAGAAACAGGCTCAAGGATCAAAAAGAAAAATGAACATGTAAAGTATTTTGAATAACTTTTTTTTAAAATTTTACTTCAGAGACTAGGGCTCTATTGTAGTACTCTATAATTTTGAAAAAAAAGACTGAATCTATAGCAGGAGAAGGACAAAAATAATCTATGAGATTCTAAACTACAGACTCAACTCTTTACTTTCCATGCCAGGCTTAATGCTGTGTTTGGTAAAACAAATTTTGTCCCATCCCAAATATGTGTATTTCCACTGTTTAACACCAACAAAATAAGACTATCAGTAACCCCAGTGAAGTGTTACAGTAAGATTTCCACAGAAATTTGGACTTATGACAGGTAGGTATGCCTGTCTTCTATAAACCCACATCTTCAAGCCTTGCTTATATATACAATCAGATTTTACATATGTGTGTGTACACATACATATACTAAGCAAAACAGGGGGTTTTTGTGTCCTTAATTATTTTTACTATCCAATGTCCTCAAAAGACATCTCTCTTAACTTTACCTTCCTAAACTTCAGTATATCTTTTCCTTGTATCCATAAATGCAAACTGCCTGCTGTGTACCCAGATATCAGGCAGAGAATTTTAAAGATATAATACTGTTAAACAGGCTAAATACATGACTGATACACCAGTATTTACACTATCAGAACATCTCTGATCCTGTGGAAATTCCATTTATTTCATACTACAAGCTGTGTTTCAAAAGTCAAACAACTCTGATTTTTCAAAATAATTTCACTGATTCTGACCTGACAAATTATTTCATAACTTAATAAGAAGATTTTGTTTATTTCTCTCAAAAGCATGAAGTTTCAGCTACAGTTCTGGTCCAAGAACTTTGTGTCTGCCATGCCTGATCCAACTTCTAATGTACAGCGTACAGCTTGGGGAATTTTTCAACTTTAATAATCATAACAGGCTCAGGGGAAAAATACTAGAGGGAGAAAATACCATCAATATCAGAGAAAAGAAGGCACATAAAAAAAGGAGCTATGTAAGGTTTATAGCAAGGAACAGAAAGATACTAGGATTCTCTTCCAACATCTTCCACAGCTTTGCTCAGAGAACTTGGAACTGCTCTGCTTCCTCCTCTCCTACTTCTTAAACTTTTTGTCTAAACCAAAGTTCCACAGCTCTGCTCAGAGGACTTGGGACTTGGAACTGCTCTGCTTCCTCCTCTCCTACTTCTTAAACTTTTTGTCTAAACCAAACCAGTTTTCTTTGGCAGTGTCAGTCTCAATTATTAAGAACTCAAAAATAAATAAATTCCTAGTCCTCTGTGCAAAACTATGAAATTCCTTAATAATCACCTAGACTGCATGAACTTCAACTGTCCTGGGACAAGCAATCCAAATATAAAGCTGACACTGTAGGCTCTCTCCCTCCCTTCAACTGACCTACTAAGACTTGCAGTGCACAAACTATGCAACACCACATTTTCTTAGTCTTGAGTAATAAAAGCAACAAAATCACAAAGTAAAAATCTGAGCCTACTAAACCAGCATCTTTGTCAAAATACAAATGGGGAGGAAGGGCTGCTGACCTGCTGACCTGTTCTTTTCCCCTCTTTTTTTCCCCTCTTTTTTATTTTTTTTTTTGTTTAGATATATGGAATCATATAGTGGAATGATTTACATACTTTAGTAATTCAATTTTCTATAGTATATTAGAAATGACACATACTACACCAAATCACTGAAATTATAACATAAAAGTACTATTGATTCAATATGGATATGCCTATGTTATTCTCCAGTGCTGATTACTGAATAGATTAATGACACAAGCACTAAGACACAAGCAGCATGTTTGTTAAAAAATAGCAAATTCAGGAAATAAAAAACTTCACTTCTGATACAAAAACAGCCATAGAAATGAATATAAAAATAACACATATAGTCAAAACTTCAATGAGATTACTGAAATTATGCTTTAAATGAAACTCAACTTTTAACCACATAAATTACTGAAATGTTTCAGGACCTCAAAACCCAGAGACGTGGGTGGATCTTGTAGATGGCAGTCTTTTTGGAGGAGGGAAAACCAGAGGAAGGAAGTTATGACCTCCTTGCTCTGCGGAGAGTTCTTACTATTACATTTCCTGCCAATGTCTAGCAGTTGAAACACTTACTTGTGCAGCAGTTAGCAGTGGCCCTCTCTTCTGAGGGCAAAACAAAATGAAGAGAAAGTATAAAGTGAAGAGTAAAGGGGAAAAAATGACAGAAATTGAGGCCAGAGATGTATGTGACTCAAATAAAAAGGGAAAAAATAGAAAAGAATGAAAACCCTCCAGCACAATAGTGACCACTACAAACATACAGGGAGATTTCACATTTCAGTGCCTAACATTTGAAAGTTTAAAATGACAAACAACAGAAGCCAGCTTTATTTGAAAATGCAGAAATTTCTCAGAAAAACATAACACTGGTTGATGAGCTCAACATTCAGAGCCTGTTTACTGCAGAAGAAAATGCAACAGATAATACAGCCTGCCATGAATTAAATGTTGGCTCAAAAGTCAAAGCTTATGAGTTGATATATCCTTCAAAGTGTTTTAGCCTATCCAACACAACCATAGATTTTAGCATTCTACATGCAGCAGTTGCCTCTTCTTTTGAAGATTATGAATCATTTTTTCAATTTAGGGACAAAATTTGTACTGACACCCTGTGGTCTTCCTCCCGCCTCAATTTTTAAATTGTGGTTATCTTTCTGTTCTGCTGCAGAGAAACTCTTCATATTTCTAACACATAAGAAAGCATAAAGAGAAGAAGCAGGTACATCTGCTATATTCAGCAGTAAAACAACTCAGTGGTAGGAAAATCAGGTGAAAAGACCCAAGCTGTCAAAATCCAAATTATTATTCTGTGTGGAACTCCAGGTAGGGCTAAAAAAAATCCACTTTTTTTGTCCATAAAGACAGGTCTCTAACTCCAAAGAACATCTCAGATCATTGAAATTAATTTCCAGTAGGAAGCAGGAACTATAACAATTTATAGGTTATTTCCTCCTGAGGCATTTTAGTGAGTGCTTAGCCCCTGCATCTAATTGCATTTATTTAGCTCCTGGTTATACCTGACATACCTGAAACATGCCTGGGACCTATTAAAAAACAGGGGGGTTGCATGTGCTGCATATGGATTCTTAACCAGCATTCCTGCCTCTAGCAGCACACCCCCGAAATCTCACTTCCTCTTCCTCAAGGGACTGAATTTAAGACTGACACATGAGGCAGTGGGAGGGTGAGAACAAGAGCCTCTAAGGAAACAACACCATCAGCAGCCTTTCAATGAATATTTTTCAGTTTTCTCCCTTCAAATCACTGTACTTTTTTTCTTCTTTTTTTTTTTTTTTTTTTTTTGTGTTACAAAGCATGCCGGGCAAGGGATAG